CAGAAACAGCCAAACCTTTAGGTGCTTTAAAATTGCCTTTTGGTGTATTTGTCATTTACTTAAAATAAAATCAATGCCACATTTTTCTGCCAAACAAACAGACTTATATTCCCCGAAAGTATTTCTGTAAACCTATGGCTCATAAAAAGTGCTGGACTCTCTGGAGCTCTTCAGCTCTGGCAGCTGAAACGTCCTGTTCATACTGATGGCAACAGCAGGCTTTGGAAACCACAGTTCCTCCTACAACGCTTCTGGGACATTCTCCTCTGGTGACATACAGCTGTTTCTTTCCTCAGTCTCATAAGCCCCTCACAAGAGCACCGATGAAATAACATCATCACAACTAAATGTTTCAGAAGTTGGCTGGTCCCCTGTTAGGAATTCAGGAGTGTCCACAGTGTGTTTCTGATGTTATAAAAATATATGCTGTTGAACAGCCATTAGATGGAAAACGTTTTCCTGGAAAGTAGGAAAGAAAGGGGCTCATTCAGCTCTGTCCCTTGCTGCCAGACAGCAGTGTCAAGAATTTATGAAAAGATGCTCTGTAGTGTGCCTGGTAGAGCAGGTCATTTCAAAATCTCAAAGATCCAATGGCTGGAAACCTTTACGTTTTCAGCTTCAGTTTATTCATTAGCAGTTTACAACCATTGGCTTCTGCATAAATAAAGTGTTATTGTTATTTGAGCTGAAATAACTTCTTGGGCTTCCCTGTATTTTTCTTCTAAGCTTACCAAGGCAAGCACTGTTAGCCTCCTAGGGGTGCTGATATTCCAATTTTTCTGGCTAGCCTAGAGTCCTTCTCTGCACCATTCTAATCTCTGCTGGTTTTACTTGGCTGCAGATGTTCGGGATAGCGTACAGTGTCCCATATGAGGTTCCATGAAGACTTTGTACAAAGTACATACCTTTGTATTTGTACTGGTTACTTTCTTAATTCATTACAGATTTGTATCTGTCTGTCTTCTGTCTATAAAATACCAGAAAGAAATATCCAGAATGATTTGGGTTGGAAGGGACCTTTAAAACTCACCTAGTCTCCCTCCTCTGCAATGAGCAGAGACATCTTCAACTGGAGCAGGTTGCTCAGAGCCCCATCGGACCTGGCCTTGAATGTTTCCAAGGATGAGGCATCTACAACCTGTCGGTTTCTTCTCCCATTCAGCATTATCTAATATTTGTTGCTCTTAATTTTTATCTCACTTTTATTATCTCAGTCCTTGAGGCCATCCAGTTTCTCAGGTAGTGATATTCCAATCCTCTTCTCTGCTGATAATATCTTCCTGTTATGAGTCACCACATTTTTTGGGCAGGCTCTTAATTCTCATGTCTCTCTAAATAAGATGCAGTCTCCAAATTTCTCTTGTCTTCTCAGATGATCAGTCTCATTTTACATGGTAATTTTCCTTCAACTAGTTTACTTCCTATTATATTCAATGTAGCGCGTTTCCATGTCAGATGCATGGGTTCTACAATGTTTTCTCTGTCTAAAAATGTATGTATTAGGGACTGTAGTATGAGCTACCTTAGGTAGGCCTCTGTTGCATTCTTTTCAGTTATCCTTTCTTTGTCTTTCAGTTATTTTTAGACCGTTTTATTGAGGAGACAAAACTTGTATGGTCACACTACCCGTGCCTCATCCTACTTCTCTTCACATGGTAACTTGTGAACTTACTGGCTGATTTCAAACAACCTTGACAGAGGGCTGGATGCCCTGAATGAACTAAATGAATAGGTGATGAAAGGAATAAGGAATTTAAACCAAATTAGTGCCTCTGCTGAAGAGAAGACCTTCCAAGTAAAGCTTAGAGAGCAGAGAGCTGATACAAGAAGGAGGACAGGGCAGAAATGCCCCAGCTGTGTTAAGAGCTGTAGCAAGAGCTCATGCTTTCTTTGACGCTAAAGTCGAGTCCTTGTCTTGCCGTGTGCCTTACGGAATAGCCAGGCGTAAGACCAAGGAGTGCAACTTCAAAATCTCAGCAAAGTGACTTTACCCCGATTGGGGGGGTAATTGTGAACCTGTAATTGTGAATAGCACATTCCCCCTGGGAGACACTTGCATGGAGAAACAAAGGGGCCATCACCTGCAGCTGCCAGTAGGTACTTTCTGAAGTGATGGATCATTTTTTGCCAGATGCTGATGAGTTAAAAACTGCATCCTGAAAAGGGGTAAATAAAAAAATATTCTTTGACACACATCTGGGACTCTTCCGCTTTTTCTCTCTGTCTCACTCTGCTTGAATACAAGGGGTGCTTTGCTTTGTATGTAAGACTGGTAAATGAAGTGAAGCAGAGATGTGGCTCTGTTAGAGTCCCTCCAGTCCCTTCCTGTCCTGTTATTGGTGATTTTGCTGTTGCGATTAAGACACTGGTAGGGTATGAAGTGAAATGGTATTTTATCACTGAGGAGTGCTGTGGTGACTTGGTGGTAAGACTGGAACCATACAGTGGAAAAGTGCTGGCCTGGCTGTTGGAGCTTTACAGCAAAATTAGTGATTTTTTAAATAGAGACACCACACTCTAGACAGCTATGTAAGTAACTTTTGGGGAGGAAAACGTGCTTATAATTTCTAGTCAACATTTCAGTTAGAAATGTGGACTTAAGTCTTTTTTTTTTTTTTTTTTAAACCTCAGAACCTCTAGCTCATGAGTACTTCAGTTTAAAAATTAAATTGTCTCCCCCTTTGCTTTTCCTTGTGTGGAGAATTCTAAAAGGGAAGACAAAGGGATGACTTCAGCAATCTGAATCAACCTACCCCACCTTGGATGAAAATACTTCCTTTCTGAAATGCAGTGTGCCTGTTAAGCTCCTGCTCTCAGACTCTCTCTTGCGTCTTCACATCCTCGTGCCGTGTCTTCATAGATGATAAAAACATGCAGGATCAGGTCCTTTTCAAGGTGTGTTGTGGGTTACTAATCTTCTAATTGCAGCATGTGCAGGATTATGGGGTGCCTGGCGCTTGCTAGCAGTGTTTAAAGCAATTTGTTGCATGATACCAGCATTCTAGTCTTTTCCAGTGCTTGTATGTAGCTGAACATGCCCAAAAGAGTTGGTTGTTCATGTACCCAGTCTTCAGTCTTGCGCAGTCAGGTTGAGTGTGCCTCTGCTCTGTTGCTGGTCGGGTGTTGCTGCCAAAGCTTGCAGTTGTGAGCTCCATGGGAGCGGGACTCTGCACTTGAGAGCTCAGCCAAGGAGTGAAGGTTATGTAGCCAAAACTGCAGAAATAAAAATAAGTTTGAACTGAACCATCAGGAACTTGAAAACGGAAATCCAAAGGAGGTGAGCTTTCAGATGCTGAATATAAAAATATTCCTGTAAAACTGACCTAGCAACCAATGAGAAGCTATATACAGATTCACTTACTCTGGATATTATAAAGAAGCTTTTGTTTAAATAAAGCATTTAAAAATATTTCCTCTGTGTCATAGAAATTGTTCTTGTAAAGATAACCTGCAAAATATTTTGAAATGTTTTTAATAAGATGTTAGGACAGAGTCTGTATAGATTTATACATAGATTTATAGTACTCCTCTATGGTTTGAATTTTGTACTTGGCTGTTTTATATGGTTGCTATTTACAGTTGTAATAGGATGTATATCTGATCTGGGTATTAATTCCATAGGATATTTGAGGATTAGTAACACATAGATGTATGGCATATGTGGGGTCATACTTCCCGATAGACTCTGTAGCATGTCAGTAGTAACAACGAAGCATGAGAGGAGTGGATTCCTTGGCACCACTGGGAAAATGTTACACTGTTTTGTTTTCTTCTTCATGCTGTAGGTATTGTGCTCATTTAATTCTCTCCACTAAAATCTCCTGTGTAAAGCCTTTTTAGCTGTAAAAGTTGAAGAATAAGAAGATTGAAGTGGTGTCTGTATATATTTATGTTTTCACAACTAATTGTGCAAAAGTGTGGGGAGGGGTGGTGATGGTTGTCTTTTGTAGTGGAAAGAGATGAAAGTTTGAGATTATTTTTGTGCCTCTTTTTTTTTTTTTAACCTCTTCTTCATTGTTGTATAATCTAAAGTGCAGTCCAGAGTGGTGCTGGGTTTTCCCTGAAAAGTGGCACTGCCTTAACCAGAGCGTACTCCCATCTGTAGTCCACTGACTTCAGTAGATCTTTGTATCAGACCCTCAGCAAAACCCGTGGGAATTCACAACCTAATGCTATGCAGGATCAGAAACTAAGCCACTTGGTTTCTTTCATGTATAAATACAGTGATGTGGTATTTGGCTTTCTAACCATACAGAGGACGAATGTTTTAAATTAAACAAACAAAACCATTTTTTTAAAATGCTCAGTCTTTCATTTAAATGCCATGAAAATATTTGTCTCTGTATTTGGGCCTGATCCTCTGTTCTTTATTTAATTCAGGCAGTGTTTTACACAAGTGAGATCTGACCCACAGATTCTTGAAGTCTGTCAGACGTAGGGGATAATTTCAACTCCTTCCTCTTGAGAAGCTTTAGGCTGAGAAAGTAGTGGAAGAATGACTGATGGCAGAGATGCTGGGGCCTTATCTCTCTATGCTCTAAACAAAGGACACTTTTGGTACACTGGTGTCTACAGTTATCATCGTGATGAAGCCGGTGAAGTTTGGCAGAAACCCCTAGCAGAAATCTAGTGGAGCCTGCCAGATATGCAGTGTCTGCACAACGCTGGTCATGGGCACACATTGGACATGGGCATAGACTCGCTGGAGCACTGAGCTGTAGGTCAGGGGCTTTAGGAAGCACTCAGCTCCTGCACAGGTGCCGAGTAGTTGGTTTCCATGTGCTAATGGTGGCTTGTGACTGTACATGAGAACTTTTATTGCTCTACTGAGTAGCTGAAGCAAAATACAGTGCCTGAGGCATAACCTCTTCTTGTTCACAATGTCTTTCTGTGTTTTTATTGCATTTTTTGTATAAATGTTAAAAGCTGGTTTTGTTTCTTGTTTGATTTAAGGTGGTCCTCTTCTATCCTGAAGAAAGAAATCCAGGTGAAGAGAAAACATGCCTTTGTTTAGTAAATCTCACAAAAATCCTGCTGAGATTGTGAAGATTCTGAAAGAAAACATGGCCATTTTGGAAAAACAAGAAAAAAAGACAGACAAGGTATGAGGTAATGTTGTAGAAGACCAATAAGGTTTTTATGTCAAAGAAACAGTAGAATAAAGGGAATAAAATTGTGTTTACTCACTTCCCTGATTCTGCCAGTGCTTGTACATGTAAGTAGCTTTGTGTTTGAACACTCCTGCTGGAATTGGAGGCCTTTTGCATAAGTAAAGTACAACAGATCTGGGTGTCTAAAAGAAAATGTTGAGATCTGGGAGCCTCAGCCAAAACGTAGGATGATCTCCTACTACTTCAAACAGTAATGTGTCTAATGAAACACCTTGGAAGGTTCTTGAAAACTCTTATACCGTTAATTGGTTTAGCAGGATAACAAATGAGACTGCAAGTTAATGTGTAGGTACCCACAGAGCAAAACTTACTTCTGATTAATTTTGTTTGCATAAAACAGCAAACCTGTATATATTCAGATGTATATAAAATCTCACACTGTTGATCCTTTCCAATCTTCTGAGTGCTAGTGCTTCCTAACTGAGCTGCACTACTCATATTCTAACTATAGTGCTAGGTTTTTGCTAATACTTTTGCTCTCCTCTTACTCTGTGACATGGACCTGAGTTACTTTTGCCACTACTCCAGTGACCACTTCAGAAGATGCACACTAGCATAAGAAATGCCCCCAGTTAAGAATTTGTGTTTACATAAAATTATTATTTATTTTTTTCATCTGAGGCTCTGGCCCTCTATATTATTACTGTAGTAGAATTATATGATTTTAATTAACAACAAACTAAAATTAACTAAAACTGAATGTCAGTGGAAACAGAAATGGCTGGTAAGTGACATTAACACAGTTTTCTTGCAGCTGATGTTTGTGTGTGCATGTTGTGCTTCCCCCACCTTGTGCAGGAGCTTGCATTAGAATGAACCCAACCCAAAAGGTAAGCACGGAGCCCTTTGTGCCCTGAGTGAAACCCTCTTGAAACTTTTTGGTTCAAAGCAAGTTGCTCAGAGTCTGTTAATTATGTAAGATCAGTCACAGAGATTTCAGGGAGGCCTCTGGTATTTGATGTCTCATGCTGAAGTACTTTCAGTTAACTGAAAAGCACTGAGAGAATTTGACTCTGAACTAAAACTTAAAATAAGTAACTAAATAAACCAACAGAGTTTGCCCTCCCCTGCTGAATTCATCATTCAGAGCCTGATTAAAGAAGACATTCAAAGCAGAAGCTCTAGACTCGGGTTTCTTTTCAATTTGCTTTGCAGCATGACTCCTCTGGATTGTGGTTTTGAGGCATTTTGGCTTTGAGCTGGTTGTTTATTTGGGTGTCATTGACAAAGGAGGAGAAATTCGGACTTCTTAGAAAATTGAGAACTCAGTGTAAATTTTTTACCAAAGTCAGAGCAGCTGGTGCATGTTTTCCACACAAAGCAAAAGATACAGGAGCTTTCCTCCAGTGTATTAGGATGGAAACAGCTTGTGAATTTAATGACAATGCTTATTTTACAGGAGGAGGTTGGTTTTCAATATTTTCTGCCATACTTTATTGCTATGGGATGGCAGTCACTTCAGCAGCAAGGCAGAAAGTGAAGAAAGCAGACTTTTTTTGGACAGCATTTACACATACGTAGCTTGTTGACTCGAGACTTTGCACTCCAGTGTACAGGAAACACATAGGGCCTTTATCCCTTCAGAAGGGGAGACATGAGACTCCTCAGTAATGCTACCTTTCATCTAAAGCGTTGCACTGAACTGTCCTGAAATAAATATCTATTAAAGAAAATAGCCAGATTTGTGTTCCTCAGTTGAAGGAAGTAAATCATAAGGAATATCTTTAGTACTGTGACAATGGTAATCTTTAAAAACTGACAGGAAAAATAACTTGCAAAAACAATCCCCCCATCAAATCTCTTACTATCTATACAGGTTTGTGGGCTTAGTAAAACCATTTTAAAATGTTTGCATTTTGAATTGGAGAAAAAAAAGATGATGGGGAGACTTTCAGTGACACATGTTTTCAAACTTACTGACTTAGTAATACTAGTGAATAACATTTTGTCTTTTCATGAGAGTGATTAGAGAAATTTAACTGAAAACAAAATCAGTGCTGCACTCTGTGCTCTTTAAAACCTGGCACCTCTGATTTGATCTCCAAAGGGAGATTAAATGTGTCAGACTTCCATAAGAGGGCCCAGAGATCTCACTTCTGCAAGAGCCACAGACCCTGGATATCCCAGAGCTGGTTTTGGACCCTGTGGGCCTGTGAACACAGAATTTTGGGAATCAGGACTCTGATTTTTCAGATTTCTGGCTCCTTGTCTGCTGTGAGAACTGGAGGGGTACTGTTGTGCCTCACCATAAAACCGAGGTTCCCAGGACTTCTGGGGTACAACTCCACAGCATCCTGACGTTGCTAGCGCGCAGAATAGGTTCCAACTAGGACTTGCCTCAGTTGCTTCAACAAAAAGATTTATCCTGTGACAATTGAGCTGTTATTGTAGTGCAGCCAATGTGGTATGTGGGCTGAGACAGCTAAAAGCTGCTAATACAGCTGGAATTGGCAGAGAAGTGTGGCAAAGCCTAAATTAACTGCAAGGCTATCAGAGAAACTCCTTGTTGCCTTTCCCAGCTGAGAAATCATTAAGTACCGAGGTGAAGATGCCCTGGGCAGCTGCAGGAGCATGAGGTTCAACAGGGAGCAGCTTGATGCTTTTAATACAGCTTTGTGCAACTTTCATCAGGAACCGCCTGTGCCTCAGAGGGACCATTTTTAAATAATGCAGAAATGATCATTTCTACCAAGTTCTGCAGGAGGCGGGTAGAGGGAGCCTTACAGCAGATCAGTTCAGGCTTTCTGAGTAATGGGAAGAGGGCGGAGGACACAGCTTGATAGACAGGATGCAGAGAAGCCACTTGTAAATATAAAGGTGATTATACCTGTTTTCCAAGACACATTTCCATATACACACATAATATACAGAAGTTTGCACTATTTCTTAATGATGCCTTTTGTTAGTCATAGGGTAGGACCCAGTCAGACTTTGACTGAACTCTGTTGACTGTGCTAGCATCGGTGGTCTTAGATAAGGATTGAATTTAACCCAGTTCCTCCATGTGTCTTATCTTTTTTTTTTTTAGAAAAAAACTATTGATGTGTGTAGTGTTGCCATAGTGCTTTTTAAACACTCTCAACTGAAAAATAGGCTAAGTTTGAATGTTTGGTTCTTACTTTTATGGGTGGGGTTTTTTTGTTTGTTTGCTTGCATGGATGTGTGTGTGCTTAAATCTTTGCCGTTTTCTCAGCTACGTTCTAATGGTTGATAGACGACAGCTTGAGAAGTGCCACCACACATAGTTCCTCTTCATCTGAAGTGCTCTTTCTAATTCCTTCTTTTAAACTTTTTTTTAAAATAGTATCTATTTTAAAGAAGGTTTTGCAGCACTGGCAAATCAAATGTAACAATTAGGGGATTAAGTAGGGTAAGACAGAGCTGGAAAAGTGGACTAAAGCCTTCTTTATCAAGCATCCTCCTCTCTTCCAACATCTGAAATAAATAAGGTGTTCTTGTGACATGTACAATTGCTGACATCCTGTTCAGGCTTTGATGTGGTGAAGAACAGTTAATTATGCCTTATTACAGAGTTCTATAAATGCTATAAAAAGTTAATCTCGGTCAAGTAGAACCAAACTCTGCTTGGATTTAATGAGAAATATTCATTCTGGTATTAACTAGAAAAGCAGAGATGTATTTAAATACCTAGGGAAAAGAAGCCTTCAGAGCTCTATTCCTCTTTTCTGGCACTCACTCCTGCAGCATTGGGAGGATACACGTAAATAGGGAGCAAAAGTGGAGAAACCCTGATATCAAGTGGACAGATCTGTTGAACCTGAGGAAGAATGGACCGCATGTGACATGCTGGTCATGCTGCTTCATTTATTACTGATATGCCACCATGTCTTTTGTTGGTGTATGTTGTAAAAGGACATTAATAGAAAGGGTACCTGACCTATCTCACAAAAAAAGTGGGGTGGCATCCTGACTTCTGGAAGTCTTGTGTTCAGCCACTGTGTCTGGTCAGCGCAAAGCAGTGCAGGTGGCATCCAGTGTGTCACTGAAGGATGTCCTTGAACACATCACCCTCTTGCTGCTAACCAAACACCTTCGGGTGCGGCACCGTGAGTCAGTGCCATCTGCGGTGCCTACAGGTTTGGTAACATTTTCTGAACCCGCCCCACAGCAAAAGCCTTCAGACTGTCACATGCTTTTAATGTGGAATAGCAAGCGGATCTGGGGTCAGCTGGAACTTTGTGCTTGGCTTAGATGGGCCAAAAGATTTGCAGTTTCTGGCTTAGCTGATCGAAGACTTGGGTTTGTTGTGGAAGCTGAACCCAAGTGAGTTAGAGCTGGTTCAGGGTGCTGTGGTGTGCGTTTTCTTGCCAGGCAGAACCGCAGGCTGCAGTGCCTTTAGTCGGTGTTCAGAAACATCGTGAAGCTCAATGTAAAATAACCTGAAGTGTCTAGCTTCTGCCCCTTTCACTTAAATCTATCTAATGAGACTGCTTGGTCAGGTAGGTCACTGTAACCCGTCCTCTGTTTCATCTCCATGTACTGTAACAAATTTGGTACTGTTCAGAAGGGTCAAGAGAGTAGTCTTTAAATAAAACTACAGTTAAAAGACATAAAGATTTCTGAGACAAATATTTGTATCAACAAACCCTGCTTGTTTACATAGCAGCAGTGAAGCCATTATCAGCTCCTGTTCACCTTGCTCTCTCCTGCGCTGAAAAAGCAGCTGGGGACCAGTGTGTGAGATGAGGTGCATGCAGGGGACGTGATGTGCATTTGCATGGAAGAACAGTTGCGTGACTACTGCAAACGTGAATGCCCATGGATGCGATTCTGCAGCTACCAGTCAGTTGCAAAATTGCCTTCAATTTCATTGCTGCACACTGAAACCAAGGGAATGAGATAAGAAGGGCTTGGCACCCCTTCCTTGTAGCTCTGCATATCTTGTGGTTTTGTAGAGTGTTTCATGTTTC